GCCGGCTAGATCTGCGGCGAACGATGGCGCCAGACCGATCGTCATCGTCATCGGTCGCCGTCGTCGTCATCGGTCGTCGTCGTGGAGTTTTTGAAAGAGTCGCCGCTGCTTGCGTTTTTTTTGAATACGCGTCAAGACAACTCGTTAGTGTATCTGTCCCGCGGCGAGGATTTGCAATGTTGGAGTCGGCTGCCAGAGGGTCGCCACAGAGAGGCGCCTCTATCTGTGCAGGCGAGGATAGCGCGGTCGCCCGCCAACGTGCCCGATTACGGATGGGAGTCGCGACCGGAACTCGGACAGAAACTCGCTCGGTGTGCATAGGTGTCTCCACGCGTCGCGGCTCTGGACCGCTCAACGCCACCTTGCGTGAGGTGAGCACGGGTCAAGCATCGCTCGCTTGACGTCGATGGCCGATGTCGACAGACATTTCGCAACTTCGCGAGTTATTTTCGCGTTGCCGAATTACGCGCTCGTTTTACAGCAAACTTACGGCTAGCTGCCAGAACTGGAGCTGTGTCCACTGCATGACTGTTACAGGTCAATGAGGGCCTGCAATGAGGCCGCGGGTGGCAAGCGTGAAGCGCCGTAATCCCCACCGCACCTGTGGTCGCCGCGGCTCGAAGCCAGCAGGAGAGCGCGCGCCTCGCGCTTGCATTTTGAGACTTATTTCGAACCTTACTTGCTTACGACGTTCGTTATTTAATGGGCGCATGAGCGCGCATCGCGCACACCGGCACTCTGTTTCGTAGCAATTCCATGACCTGTGACGCTGAGGGTTGCATATATTCTGTGTGTGTGCATGTGTGTGTGCTGTGACGTGTGTGTGTGCTGTGTGTGCTGAATGTGTGTGTGCAGCGCGCGCGCGTGTGTGAAGTGGGTGTGTGTGTGCACGTGTGTGTTGATGGTGCCGTGCGCTGCGTCGGCCTGTGCTGTGGTGTGTTGTGTGTGCATGCGCGCGTGCTGAATGTGTGTGCGTGGCGTGCGTGTGTCGTGCGTGGCGTGTGGTGTGTGTGTGGTGTGTGTGTGTGTGCTGTGTGTGTGGCTGTGTGTGTGTGCTTGTGTGGCTGTGTGTATGGTGTCGTGTGTGTGTGTTGTTGTGGCCCGGCGCTGCGGTGACGTCGCACTGCCGTATGCTGTATCGCGCGTGCGAAGCACGAGTAGCAGGACCACTACTGATGCTACGGCTGGTGCGTTCGGCTGCGATAACCTTTTACCATAATGAACGTTTCTTCTCGATAACTTGTTGAAGTCCACAGGAAGCGCCCTGCTCCACGTACCTCTCTGCTCCATCACCGGTCTAAAAGACTCTAGGAGCAGGATACCTCCACGATCAGCCGATTCCCAGCAAGCGCACCGCAGTTTGTACTAACAGACATTATTCGGGAACGTTTATTTCTTAGTACACCGTAACGCCTCGCGACATGACAAGTCGCGCCATTATAACATAGCAAATAAACGCGAGAAACAAATATACTATCAGTCAGACTGCTTAGTGTCTTCTATATATGTTGCATGGGAAGGCCTTCCGTAGATTCGGCTCCTTGCTGCTCAACGGCCACGTCAGTCAAGTCATCGCTAGCGGGGCCCCCTGGCGGCGGACGCCCGCGCCTCGCTTCACAGCGAGTGAGAGTTCGCCGAGTCACTCTCGCGACTTCGCGTCCGTATCGGGAAGTGAACGACGGCTATCGGCAGCGCCTTGCAAAAGTTGGCGCTCTCGAGGCTGTACAGGAAGAAGTTTATAGAGAAGTTGTTGTAGTAGACGAGCGATCATATGGAGCGAACGATTTGAGTTACATTTCTATAAATTCTAGCTATTATAGACACATGCTTTAGCCTTAATCTCTGTGAATTTTGAGTCTATTGAAGCGCGATTAGTCTAATTAATTAGCAAATATTCACGCGCGGCTATGACCGGTGAAACGAAACGCCACGAATTCTATTTTTATCCTCCAAAAATGGAAAAGTGGACGGGGTCGATTTTTATCCGCCAATCACAGGTCGGAGCAATTCCTCTGTTTAGACGCATGTCGCCGACGCAGCGATTTGCGAAAGCCTGCGCCCGCGAGGCTGTACAGGAAAAAGTTGATGGAGAAGTTGGTGTTGTAGACGAGCTGAGCGTACTGCTGACCGACCTCCAGCCGCTCTGTGGGCACGAACCCTGGATCTAGCAGGTGCACGACGAACACGTGCAGGCGGACGGCGTGGCTCGGCAGGTTCAGGGTAATGAAGACCGTCGAGACGAAGAGCAGCATCTTCGTGATGCGGATCTGGTTGCGCGAGCGCAGCGCGTCGCGGTAACTGGTCGGCAGCGCGCCGTTCCGCAACGTCGCCCCGCCGCCCTGCAGGGGGCGCTGCTGCTGCTGCTGCTGCTGCTGCTGCGACGCGCATGCGCCGGAGTGGAAGCTCGCGCACGTGCGCGTCGGCAGCGACGTGTGGGTAGAGGGCGCTCCGTTCGTCGGGAAGCCGCGCGCGACGACGTAGCGGGAGGTCGCCGGCGAGCCGACGGCGTCCGCGGACATCGCTGAGCGACGCTTGTAGAAGGCGACGACCTTCCGAGCGATCGTCACGTTCATCGTGACAATGACGATTGAGGGAATGATGAGAGTTGTCACCGTGTCAACGTTATTCAGCACGGTCATCGCCGGCAGGTAGCGCTCGTACAGCAGACACTGCGGCGGGTAGCCTCCGTCGGCGTCGCCATCAACGTCCACGATGCCAGCGACGACGAACGCGTAGCTGTAGACGACGAGGGCCGTGGCGACGAGGCCCGCTATCGTCATCTTGGCGCGTCGGGCCGTGCGCAAATTTTTCCCACTTGAGTTCCGGACCACAGCCAATCATCGCACTCCATTCACTCGACTTCCTCGAAGCAACAATGTAAAATGAATAAACCCTATCCCTAACCCTATCCCTAACGCTAACCCTAACACGTACCCGAACCCTAACACTAACTATAATCCAACCATATATATAAGAACCATTTATTACAAAACACTATCTATGGTGGGTCCGGAATTCAAGTGCGTGGCTGAAAACGATTTCGCGGCCGGTGCGGGGCTAGCAGACGGCGATGAAGCGCTCGCGGGTGAAGGCGGACGACGACCGAGGCAGAGCTGCGCGAGGTGCGTAGACGACGAAATTTGCAGCGCCCGGCGCGATGTACAGCGGTCGAGGCGTTCAGCGACGACGAACCGTCGGGCAGAACCGCCTGTCGGCCCGTTCGTCAGGGCCGTGTGTATCCGAGGCGACACTGGCGAGCTTCGAGCTGAGAAGAACGAGCACGGATGCGGCGTTGGCCTAGCAACCGCGATATGAGTCAGCGGCTCGTAGACTGCGTGATGGTTGCAGCACGTAGCGCCCCCCATTGCGCGTGGTTTCGTCAGCGCGGCGGCGGCAGCGGCGGTCGTACCGTGCGTGTGATTGCCCGTCGGCGTTGCCGTGTTTCAACGCCAACGCATGACGTCGTTACAATGAGGCTGCCGCGTCGGTGATGGGTCGAGTGATGGGGTCAGGGATTGATCAGTGATGGGTCTAGATGGGTCAGTGAATGGGTCGGGATGGGTCAGGGAGGGATGTCGGGATGGGTCAGTGTGGGTCAAGTGATGGGTCAGGGATCGCACGCAAGCACCAATTGCGTAGAGAGGAGAGAGGAGAATTCTGAGAGTACACACAGAGACTACAGAGTGAGGAGAGAGACACAGAGACAGAGAGAGAGGAGACAGAGAGAGAGGAGAGGAGAGAGAGAGCGGAGGAGAGAGAGAGAGAGAATGAGAGCGAGAGAGAGGATGAAGAGACGAGAGAGGGGTGGAGTCACGGAGGGGGGGAGGGGAGGGGAGAGAGGTGTCAGCGGAGCTGAGAGAGTAAATTATTAGAAGATATGTGCTCGTGCCTTTTGGGATGTGTGTGTGTGCCGTTCGCGCCGCCGTTGCGTTTGTCTGACGTGTGTACTGGGCATTGCGTGTGACATTCCGTTCTGCATTGAATTCTTTCTCTCGCCGCTTTTTCCTTCTTCTTCTGTCTTTAACTCTTCCGCAGTATATTCCTACCTTATTTCGCGATGTTCGCACATCCCCAGTTCGCTGTGAAAGTTAGCCAGGCAATGGCGGTTTTCAGTNAAGGGCAGCTAACACGTGGAAGAGGGCAGCTAACACGTGGAAAAGGGCAGCTAACACGTGGAAGAGCTATATAGGGACCACTATACGTATAATATAGTCTTTCACTTGTAGTTTTCAGGTGCGAGGGCAGAGCCAATACAACAACAGAAATCGTATTCCTTACTCTGCTGTTCTAGAGCTCTTTTTCTTGTATATATATATAATATGTAACCGCTTCCCGATACGTAACCATGGCAACGAGCATGTACACGAGCTGTGTGTGTGTGTGTGTGTGTGTGTGTGTGTGTGTGTGTGTGTGTGTGTGCGTGTGTGTGTGTGTGTGTGTGTAGATATTCTATGTACGCAGAATACAAAAATGCAAAATAAATGCTTCTTTATAAAGTCTTTTCTTGCAAATAAAGTCTTATTTACCGTTACTAACGGTTATTTATTTTGCATTGTTTTACAATTACATTCGTCATACCTGCACCAGGTCAACATAAGTAATGTTTAAAAACACATCTATTGAGGCGATATCGTTAGACGGTGTTACCTTCAATAGGTAGACAACAAATTCTTACTAATAAGATACTTATTTATCGATATCACAGCAGCTTTGCATGAAGATAATCGTAATTAGAATGGTTTTAATAATCACAGCTAGTTGATTGTTCGTTAGGTAACACTGTCCAGTGTTCCCTCCCCAACCTTCCGGTTAGGGATAGGGTCGTCCGTTTACTCGGGGGTTCTAGGAACATTCCCCGTGGTTCTAGCAGGTTGTTCACGATAGATCGCTCACCGAGTCTCAGTAGTAAATGTATCTGATGTGATGGAAAGGAAGCTGTATGCTACTGCCTTTAGCCGTCTTGGTTTTGATCAGATCCCAGAGGTAGAGGTTGACCATCACGACGTTCACGTGCACTCTGGTAGCGCCCTTTGTCTGCAGGAGGGTGCATGCAGTTTTGCGAGGTCCAACTAAGCGAGAAGATATCGTCACGTTAGAAGTTTTACGCTTGAAATCAGAGAGAAATTCCTGATCCTGATTTCTGGTCTGCTCGTCTTTCGAAAACGAATGCACTTTCGGTCACCATCAACTAAATCAATAAAAATTTCATTTTCAACCAGAAGGCTTAGTGACTCGATGATAACTTGACAGATTGCAGGAATGTTTCGCGACAGATATTCGTGTACCTCCACCGCCGAGATGCTAGCACCCCTGATCTCGACTTCCTTCCTATCACCACTCTGGAACAAATAACGTGACCTAGAAAAAATACAACATCACAATTTAACTGATTACGTCAACCTGCATCCAGATGATATATTATTCAATAATCGTACGATAATTCTGCATTATGTATGCAGATGTGACGCAGTCTAGCTTTACATTCAGCAATCTTGGCTAATCTTTAAGAGCATGTGAAGGTTCGATCGTTGAAGCATTGTCGGTTTACGCCAACCTCTGATATTAATTTGCAAGGTTAACTTATGCTGCCCTTGATCACACATATAAGAACATTGAATTCATTGAAAACATTCAAAACATTTCTGCATCTTTAAGCAGCAGATCCAGGAGTATCTGCGAATACTCCAGAACGCCGAATTAATTAAACCAGCGCCTGCGGTATTCTACAAATAACAAACGAGCATCCGTATTAGCGATTAATCTACAGATGAAACCCAGGTGGGAAATGTTCCAACATCAATGGATCCATCTCACAAATTCTGATCACTCCGATATACAGCAACTTAAAATATAGGGGCTATATAATATGTTATAGGGCCTATATAATATAGGGCTTATATAATAATAGGACCTATATGACTTATATAATTATAGGATCTATATAATATGTTAGGCCCTGTAATTGGGTTTTAGTTGCCCTGTCTGTAAGGTAACACGAACCTGTAATCGGCAAACATGGTGAGGGTGTCTATGTCGTGGAATTCGCCGTGACCTTTGCCCTCACAACACGCCCAGATGTCTGCTACCAGGATCTGAGCTCGCTTCCATAGTGCCACTCAAACAATAATGGAACAATGATAGTACAATTATGGAACAACGACGGAACAATGATGGAACAATAATCGTACAATGATAGAAAAGTGGGAGAACACTGATGCAACAATGATAGAACAATTATATCACTGACGAACCATTATCTACTGTTGCACGTTTTATACGGAGGTAACAATGTAAATTCGGAAATATTCTTGGGCATTGACGGGGCCAGACATGCAGGAATTAGTCCGAAACCGTCGACGATATCAATGATAGATTCAACAAAGAAACTCTATCATCACCATTCACATACATGACTAGTTGTAGAGACCTTTGCTAAAGATGTGTAAATGTGTCGCCAGTGTGTAAACATTTCATGGACATATAACTGCTGCATAACTACTGGTGACATCTGCCATTTCACAACGCGGCACGCTACCCTAATAGATGACACTGTCGTTACATACTCAATGCGACCACTAGATGGTGATGCCGCTCGTGCATTACCTCTGCGTCCGACGTACACGACCCTGTATGACGGGAAGTTGTCCAAGATCAGGCGGAGCAGGCGGGATGCACTCTTGTTGCTACGCGCGACGCACGTCGGGAAGGAGCCGGAGAATTTCTACCGCGAAACAATCAACGACGAAATAAGTACGACGACAACGACGCTGGCATGCGAATGCTGTCGCGATATTTGCTGTCACATCTGAGAGCTGGAATCTTATCTTGCACGCTATTCCAATGGTCAGTTTTTTCTGTACTGCCTCATATTCCCCCTGTTTTTCTGCATTATTCCTTCACATTTCCCACTATGAGCTTATATCTTGCTTCTCGCCCAGGATGCTCTCTCAGTTCTCCAGCGTCTGGATGGAAGTTAGTACGCAGGGTCGTCAGGGAACGCCACCTGGGTGAAGACCTTTTACAGCGTTGAACTTAGTTATACACGCAAATATTTACTATATAGCTACTATATTAATTATTGATGGAGCCGAGTGTGGTTTAGTATCTCCTCGAACCGTGCGGTGTGCTCGCGCGAATTCGAGTGGGCCTTCTGGGCGGTTTCGCGAAAAAACTAGATTCGTCGTTTGGATACGCGAATTTTTCGAAGTTAAAGTTAATTTTTCAGGCAATTAGATCGCAAAATCGATAGCGATGCAGTTCAAGCAGAGTACGGTGAATCACTTGGATTGACGTGCTTATCGAAACCGCCCCACCAAATGTTAGTCGCAATCCGCATGCGCGTCAATCGACGCTGGTGATTTCACTGTACGCCCAACGTGACGGGTGTGCGGAGTGTGTACAACTGTACATGTATGTATGTTTATGTGTGTGTGTGTGTGTTGTGTCGTGTGTGATGTGTGTAGTGGTGATGTGTGTGTGTGTGTGTGTTGTGTGTGTGTGAGTGTGTGTGTGTGTGTGTGTGTGTGTGTGTGGTGTGCGTGTGTGTGTGTGGTGCGTGTGTGTCATGTGATTTTGTTGTGTACAACTGTAATGGTATGTATGTATGTAGTGTGTGTGTGCATGGTGTGTGAGTGTGTGTGTGTGTGGGTGATGTTGTGTGCGTGGTGTTGGCGTGTGTGGTGTAGTGTGTGTGTTTGTGTGTTGTGGTGTGTGTGTGTATGTGTGCGTGTGCGTTGTGCGGTGCGTTGTGCAGTGTGCGTGTGCGTGTGCGTGTGCGTGT